TAGAGCTTACTTAAAAAAATAAAAAATAAAAAGCTAAAAAAATAAAAAAGCAGAACTCACAGAAACAGAGTAGAATGGTGGTTACCAGGAGCTGGGCATGGGAAGTAGGAAATAGGGAGCTGTTGGTCAAAGAGTACAAACTTCCGGGTTTCAGATTCATTAGAAAATGAATACGTTCTGGGGATCTAATAGATAGCATGGTGATTACAGTTAATAATACTGTATTATATACTTGAAAGTTCCTAAGAGAGTAAATCTTAAATGTCCTCACCACAAAAAAAAAAAAACCAAAAATGGTAATTATGTGATGTGATGGAGGTGGTACCTAATCCTATGATGGGAATCATTTTACAATGTATAAAGGTATGATTCAATACATGATAATACACCTTAAATTTACACAGTGTTACATGTCAATTATAGAACTGGAAAAGAAACTGTGCACCAGCATGTTTCTGTCCAAATGGTGAGTTGGGAGCATGAAAAAAGTGGCGAAGTTGCACTGGAAGAGCAGAGGGCTTTATAAGCAGATCAGTAAGAGCCTTAAATTTTTAAAAACTTAACAAATGCACAAAAAATTAGCTCTGAATTTCTATTAAAACTCATTATTTTTTTAAGTATTTATTTACTTATTTGAGAGAGAGCACGAGTGGGGGGAGGGTGGGGTGTAGAAGGAGAGGGAGAAGCAGACTCCCCACTGAGCAGGGAGCCTGAGGTGGGGCTCGATCCCAGGACCCCAAGATCGTGACCTGAGCTGAAGGCACGAAGGCAGACGCTTAACCAACTAAGCCACCCAGTCGCGCCAAAATCCATTACTTTACAATGAGAGATGAATACATTAATTTGAAAAACAATAGAAATGAATATATTTAAATCACCTTTCAAGTGTGTGTACCTCTACCACAAGCTAAAGGAATTAAGTTGCAACATTTACTGAACAGTCACTATGTACCCAGCATTGTGATAAATGCCTTATGTCTACTAGCTTATTTACTCATCCTCAGATCCTTATGAAGCATCTGTTATGATTTCATTTTGCAAACAGAAAATTGAGAACTTGTTTCCAGCAAATACAAAAGTCATAAATATAAAAAATAGATACAGTCACCTGAGATCCTGTTTGTTTCCAACAAATGCAAAACTCACAAATGTCAAAAATAGAAAGAGTGCTTAGTGCCAGAATGTGCTTCAGTGGTCAAAATAGAACTCTGAGTTGAAAATATGTTTACATTCACATTTTATTTAAATGTATCTTTTAACTGAAAAGAGAGTCATCTGGGACTAATTTAAGTTCTTCAAGACCTAGTGGTCTTGATAAGACCATTTATCAAGCATGTTTTATGGAATAATTCAGACAAGCGTGTTTGGCAAGCGGTCATTATCACACAGAGTACCAAAAACTGATAAAGTCTGGCCCACATAGACTAGACTAGATGGAGCACAGGAGAGCTGTTTTCCAGTTCGGTTGTAAACTCTTCTGTAGAGTCAGAGACAACATAGCTAAGCCACATAAACTGTAGGATGGACATCCCAGCTCTGAGCTGTGAATGTTACCAAATAGTTCCAAAGAAAATGAAAAGGATTTACCTTCCCTATCATGGGGTCTCTAGAAGCATTGTGACTTGCATGCAAAGCCAAGGTACTATGTATTTGAGAGTGATATGGCTCAGTAGTTACTGTCATTTTTTCCCCCTTACTTATAAGACACAGTGAAAAACAAAATAGGTTTTAGTTTGGCTCTTAATAAATCTCAAATCATGCAGAAATAAAAAGTTCATCAAAGATCCATAGTTTCCATTGAGAATTTCCTTCTTTTGGTTTTGTTTTGTCTTTTTTTTTTTTTTAGAAGATTTCCCCTCCCCACAATAAACCACAAAACAATTTTTCCCCTCTTTATATGTATTGAAGGAGAATTAAATTCTTGAATGGAAATTGTGTTTTCCTTTAATTCCTGACAAACTGTGTCCTACACCTGACAGCCACAAGGTAGGAAGGCCCCTGAGTTATTCAAAGAAGCATTCTGTTCCTGATCTTGCCATTCAATATCACAGGGTGTGATGAAAACTGGAACAAATATGGAAATCACAGAGGTGCCAGAACATTACATTTAAAAAATGGAATTATTTGAGTCAATCTGGAATGTCTGGTTCTTTTGGTTTAGGCCTCATGGGTAGCATTGTGCTTCAAAAACAACTTGAATTGGCTACCAGGATTCCAGAAGGGTAACATAATCTCGTACCTTTGTGGAGAGATGCTTATCTTTGTCTACTGTTAACAGAAAGAGGCTGGATTCTTTCACCTTTTCATGTTTCAAAATGAAAATTGCTCAAATAAGTTTCAAACCTGAACGGAATTTGGAAACAAGAATGGGAGGATGTAATTTCTCAGTTCTTTTCAGTTTGTGCTAGTCTTTGTTTGAAATAAATGCCCCAGCATGAATCAAATCCTTTATAGCTATAGAAATATGGGGCTTGGGAGAGGCTCATCCTCCCCACTTCCCCTTCTGTGATTTGGCAATCAGAGAGACGTTCTCAGAGTTAGTAATCCTGAATACAAGGCTCAGACCTGAGAGGACACAGAGACACTTAAATGAGACCGAGGAGTGCTCACCTCCCCTTCTGAAAAATACAGCCTGGAACCCAGCGACCTCTGCCCCCTGCCAGTGATGCTGCTACCCCTGCCAAGGCCTCCCCGGAGGGCTGTGACCACAGGGCAGGTCTCACTTCTCCCCTGTCACCAACACACAAAGTTGTAGGGATGTTGTCCAACCACAGTAAAGGGTTGGGGAAAACCAGAGGGAATTACAACACACAAAGGAAGGAATTTTAAGCTGTGTCATCCAACAAAGGGAAAAAAATCCCCACCAAGTTAAGGGGACACACCCAAATTGCTAACCTTGTTGACTTCTTGTCGCAGAGTGCAATGAATCCCCAGGCACCTTTGGGACTCCGGAGTTTCTTCTTGTGGGGTTGGTCTAATTCCAACACTCCTCGGTGCAGAAGACACCTCCATGCCTGGTCTATCCCACCTGGAAGACTTTAACGGCTCCAGCAGGACAATCCACGATGCCTTGTAGGAATCTAGGGTCCAGTTCCTTTGAAAGCGTCGCCTTCAGTCTGGGTTACAGACATACCTCCAAATTTTTCTACTTAGAATGTGCATGCATTCTCACACACATGCTTCTCAACATTTAATGTGCCTGTAAACCACCTAGGGTGGGGATTGAAGCTGCATTTCTTACAAGCTCCCAGGTAATGCTGCTGGTGTGGTCAGTGACCCACATTCTGAATAGCGAGGATCTAATCAATATTCAATCCCTATTGGACTGTCTTCAGTTATCCCAAAATATCTTTGACAATTCTTTCTTTTTTTAAATTCAGGATCCAATTAGGAATCATGCACTACAATTTGCTGTCATGTCTTTTTAGAAAGAGGATGTGAGCTTTTATTTGGCTGCTTACTTGGTTACACAAAGACCCAGTGAAAGTGTTAGCATTTCCCCTTGTGAGACCCTCCTCCGTTAAATTCGTAGACAAGGACCACACTCCTCACAGCCTCTGTGAGGGAGGGGCAGAGGGGAGAGTGATGTTTTCCATTACATGGGAAAGGAACCACCTGGGCCAGCGGTATCATGGCAACCGGGAACCTGGAACTCCCCTCCCCAAGAGTATGAAAGCAATGACGAGTCTTACCAAGTGTTGGATTTAACTGAATATGCAAGGAGACACCATTAGTGGCATCGAATGTTTGGCCACAGTTCCAGACCTATGGTAGAAAAACACTCAGTGCCACCCAGATTGCAATGGGTGGAGTGACTGGCCGGTGTGCGGGAGTTTTGCTCCAGAAAGTTGAAAACTGCAGTAGGTGGTGGCTTTCTTCTTCTTCAGATTGCCAGTCACAGTGGCTATGTGCAGACTGACTGGAAGAGCGTTGAAAAAGATGTAAACAAGACAGAAAAGATTAGGAAAGGAGCAAATAAGGCAGCACTTGAAATCAATACAAGTGAAGAAGCAACAGAATCTATCAAACAGAACATTGTGATATCCAGTGGATTTGTGGGAGGCCTTGCATTTTAAGGGTATGAATATTGTGTCACAGTGGAGTTGCCTGTAAGAAGAGAAATGGTGTCAACAAGCTGGTTTCTCAACATTACTCACTACCAGATTCTCCAGGGGAGCGAGAAACAGCTAGGTGGACAATACAAAACTCACAACTTAGTGTTTTGCCACTGAAGTTTGGCAAACTAGTATCTGCTGTAAAAACAAGCTATATGGCATGTATACAATACTATTCCCGAGAAAAACGTGGCTTTCATTATTTTTTAAAATTTGCATTTGTTTTTAAATTAGCCCATAAACTACTACCATTGGATGTAGATATATAAAGAAAAAAATGTGCTGGATATATTCCCCAGTGAAGTATTATATTTGTTTTGTTTTATTTAAATAAGATGTTCTTCATTTTGCTTTATAGTATAGTGCTGCCAGTGATTAAAAATTTGTATTAGAGCTTCAACATTAAGGTTGGCTCTTTTTTTAAAGATATGTTTGCAATACACTGAAGAACTGTAATGCCCTTTGTGGAAGGACTTAGAAGTGATAGAATTATTAAAGATATTAAACAGACTTAACACCAGAAAAAAAAAGAAAGAAAGAAAAGAAAGGAACCACCTGGAGTTGGTATTGTAATGGTTAGGTGGTGGTTGTTGTTATTGTTGTTGTTGTTGTGTGTGTGTGTGTGTGTGTGTGTGTGTGTTTTAAATGCAAACCATACACACTGAGCTGGATTTTCTTTTTTCTTTTTTTAAGATTTTATTCATTTATTTGAGAGAGAGAAAGTGAGAGAGAGAGAGAGAGAGAGAGAGAGAGCACAAGAGGGGGGAGGGTCACAGGGAGCAGCAGACTCTCCACTGAGCAGGGAGCCCAATGTGGGGCTCGATCCCAGGACTCTGGGATCATGACCTAAGCCGAAGGCAGCCGCTTAACTGGCTGATCCACCCAGGCGCCCTGACCTGGATTTTCTGAAGCAAGTGCTGAGATATGGCTCGTACCTCAGAATAGCAGAACAGTACTTAAACACAACTGCACAGGAGTTTTACTGTCTTTGTTCTCAGACTTATCCATTATCTTATCCATTCGCTCCAGAGAAAGTAGACTCCAGGGCTATATCCAAGCATGGTGACAACCAATGGGTATACAAACTTCATTTCCTCTTTCCGAGAGCTTAGATTTTATGATATGTTTAGTTCCTTCTAGAATAAGTTTCCCAAGGGCTCTAGCAGCATGGGCCACAGGGACATGCAACTGTCCAAATCTCACTACAGTGTCCAGTGTGGGTTCTGCAATTGCCTCCCTCACTGGGTGTGCCCATCACTACTCACCTCTGCAAACTTGTCATAGTGGCCTCTGCTAAAATGTGAATATTGCCTAGAAGGAATGATGAAAGAGTAATCCTTATGGTCAGCTGGCTAGCAGACTCTCACCTAAAGAATCAGGAATCTGGATAGGAGACGAAGAGAGGCAGGGAACCCAGATAAACCGAAAGCACAGCAGATCATCTGGCATCCAGAATAAGAGTAAGCATCTCAAGAAAAAAGGTGGCATCAAAAGGAAACCAAGAAGTTCCCTGTTCACCAGCCTCACGCCAGCCTCTCACTTTGCCATATGCTCAGTCAACACATCATGCTCCCAGGCAGCGCAGGAGTTACTGCAAAGAATGAAAAAAAAAAATCCAAAAATAGAATGTTTTAGATCCAGAATCTACCTCTCTCCCAACATGGTGTTCCTCCTACAACATTTTTATAGTATTTCAGCCTCTGCTTAAGCAATCCCTAGGTGGGGGCCTGTGTTCCTGTAGAACGCATCACATGTACTAACAGCCAACGGTTACTGAGTTCATTCAATACGGGCACCGTCCTAAGGGCTTTCCTCACACTCAATCATTTGATCTCTACGATAGTCTTAAAATGGTAGCTCTGTTACAACCTCCGTTTCACATCTGAGGACACTGACGTGCTGAGATGTTTCACAACAAGACCAAACTTACACACCTCTAAGCTGGACCCAAGAAGTAGGATTCCAAGGCCGGTGATCTTAACCAGGTCTCTAAACTGCCTCCCAAGAAAACACCAAACAGAACAACTGCTGCTTTCTAAAAGAAGTTTAAATCCTAAGACATGGAGCACATATATTTTATATACTCACTCAACTTAAAAATTTAAAAGTCAGAACGCAATGCGGTACAATGTACTTTTTCTTCATAATGTCTTGCCTTGGCTTTCTGCGTTTTCTGTTTTCTAGATTTTACTTGTGGTGGGCTCAACACAGACCTCCTGGGGAAAGACTTGTGCCAGAGAGGAAAGATAAAGATTCCTTCCATAAGTCACCCATGACAGGAAGCTTCCCCAAGGCTACAGGGGGGATTTGAGAATGGATTTATGGGGGAGGGGAGGGAAGGGAGATGATTAAATATTGTCTCTGAGACAATGACTTCCAAATTGATCAATCTTGCCCCAGCGTATTTTGATGTCTGTTAGGCATCTCCAACTTAACATCCAAACCAAAATATTTTATTTCTACCACCACTCCCCAACCAGCTCTCACCCACCTCATTAAAGCATACTACTGGTTACCAGTTCCATAGGCCAAAAACATGGCAGTCATCCAACATTTCTCTCTCCCTAACATCCACAGCAATCCCACTGGCAAGTCCTATTCGTTGTCTCTTCTCAAGATACCCAGCATTTAACCATTTCTCACCACCTGCCATCGCTATCACACCTTCTAAGCCACCATCATCTCCCGCCTGGATTACTCCCAGCTGGTCTATTTTCTTCCACTCTTGCTCTCTCAAAGATGATACTCCACATGGAAGCGGTGATCCTTAAAAGCATAAGTCACACCATTTCTCTCCCTGCTCAGAGCCCTCTAATGGCGTCTCATCAAACTTAGAATGAAATAAAAATTGCTCATCCTGGTCAACAGCATAGACTCTACATGATCTGGTGGTCCCTCTCTACCTCTGCAAGGTCATCTGCTACCACTCTCCTCTTGCTCATTTCATTCTAGCCACAATGGCTTTCTCTGTTCCTTAAACAGTCTAAGCTTATTATCCCCTTGCATTTGCTATTCCCTTTGCCTATATTGCTTTTCCTTGTCCCTAAACCTTTTTAGAGCTCATTTCCCAATTCTGTTCAAATGTCACCTCCACAGAGACACCTTCCCTGGACACACTTCTAAAATAGTAGCTGTCCCAACCCCACCTCCAACCATGACTCTTTATCTCCTTATTCCACTCTTTTTGTAGTACATATCACCCCAAAATCACATTTCATATTTACTTATTTATGATTTATCCCATTAAATGATAAATTTTATGAGAGCAGGGATCTTATTTTATTTACAGTTGTTTCCCCAGTGACCGGAACGTTTTGAGTATTCAATTAATTTAATGCATAAATATATTCTAAGAAGTCTAAAATTTATTTTAAAATATTTAGACTTCCTTGTTGATATCCAGATCCATATATCTCATGTATCTGTCTATGACCCATATGTCCCAAAGGAAACTCACACTCAGCATGTTGAAAACTGAGCTCATTATTACTTCCTGTTCCCTTCCCCAAGCTGCCCTTCCCTCCTCATTCCCAAGCTTAAAAAGCAGCACTATCATTCCACCTAAGACAGAAATCGAGACATCACTGTAGATCTACCAATCTATCACCAAGCCCTGTCATTTCTACTTGGATCAGATTGTGTTCTTAGTTACAAACAACAGACGCCACTCTAGCTAGTTTAAGAAAAAAAAAAAAGAATTTATTAAATTGTTAGGTAGCACAGAGAGTCTTCAGGAGGGCCTGTGAGCCAGGCTGCCCACAGAAACCCCACTGCTGCTACCGCTGGCACACTGTGCACCACAGACAAACCCCAGAGCCAAGAGTGACTGCGCACTGCAGTGTCGTGCTGCTATCCTCATCAGAACGGATTCCAAGTGCTATCTCCTTCTTCACAACCCTCTTTCCCAAAACAAAGTCCTGATGGGCAGAGCCCAGATGATATGCCTATGCCCCAACGGACAGAGACACTGGGAAAGTGAGTTTCTGGCTTCTTTGAGAATGGACACTAAGTTGGGAAATTCCCCAACCGTAGGAAGGGTGTTTGAGAAATGTTGGGCAGCTGCAAGGCATCTCAGACGTCAGTTAACACGCTCTTCTATGTCCCCAGTCGAACCCACCACCACGGACTCAGCTCTAGTATTCAGAGCTCGTGGTCTTGACTAATATGATAACTAAGGTTATCCCTGCCTCTTTTCTCACCTCCACACTAACGCTATGGCGCTACATCTAAAAGCAAGCCTTACCATGTCACTCCCTTGCTCACCATCCATTATTAAAAAACGAAAAGTTCCTCAAAAGCTCTCATTGCCCAGGTGCGGCTCAGTCAGTCAAGCGTCTGACTCCCTATCTCAGCTCAGGTCTTGATCTCAGTGTCTTGAGTTCGAGCCCCGCACTGGGCTCCATGCTGGGCGTGGAGCCTACTTAAAAAAGAAAAGCTCTCAGGGCGCCTGGGTGGCTCAGTTGGTTAAGCGACTGCCTTCAGCTCAGGTCATGATCCCAGGGTCCTGGGATCGAGCTCCTCATTGGGCTCCCTGCTCCGCGGGAAGCCTGCTTCTCCCTCTGACCCTCCCCCTGCTTGTGTTCCCTCTCTCGCTGTCTCTCTCTCTCTGTCAAATAAATAAATAAATAAAATCTTAAAAAAAAAAAAAAAGAAAAGAAAAGCTCTCATTGCCTATAGGTGAAGTACAAACTCCTTTGGTTTGTCTATAGAACTTTTCACAGATGGCCCTAGTCCATCACCCGAGATTCTCTCCTTACTCAGGATGCTATGTTTCAGCTACACCAAACTGCCCTTCTCCACGTGTCGCCTGTTTTCTCCTGCTTCTGTTGCTCTGTACACTATTCTTCCTATTCCTTGGAATGGCCCTTCTCCAACAAATTCTCACTCATCCTTCAAACCTCATCTCAAGCGTCACCTCTTCTCTGCCTCTACCTTGATCCCCTCATTCAGGACAAGACACTCTCAACTTGGCTCTCCCTTGATGCCTACCTCTATCAGTACTTATTCTATTTTGTGGTTAACTGTTTGCTTTACGCCTCTCTCCAAGGCAGGAAGGAGCTAGACTGTGATCTCCGTGAAGGCAGGAACTATTGCCTTATTTTTGGATCCCCAACATGTTGTCTGGCTCATAGCAGACACAGCAAACTTTAGTTGGATGAATAGTAATGCTGCTGCTGCTGCTGCTGAGAGTTGTCTCCACTTAGGGAACACTTAGGATGTGTCAGGCACTGTCAGGCAGGTATGATTATCCTCGTTTTATAAATGAGGAAAACTTTCCTGATATCATACAACTAGGAACCAACTGATCTGAAATATGAACTTTCATTTGATTTCAAAGCCTAGACTCTTATTCAATATATTCTACAGCCCCTATGAATAAATGAATGAGTATGTGGAAGAAAGGATAAATAAATAGCAGTGTGAAACTGTGTATTGTACTCTACAGTTAAAATTCCTCCCTCTCTAACCTCCATGGCCAGAACACTTGCCTTGCCTTTTTGTTAGTTTATTTATTTCATTCTGCTTGAAATACAACTGCCCTTTGAGATAGCTCCTTGAGGGCAGGAAGTCATATCTTTCTCATGCCTATATCCACCCATTTGTATTAGTTTCCTGGGGTTGCCAAAATTAAGTATCACAAATTGGGTGGCTCACAGTTCTGGAGGCTGAAGTGTGAGATCAAGGTATGGGCTGCTCCAGGCCTCAATCCCAGCTTCTGGTAGTTCTTTTGCTTGTGGCAGGACAATGTTCACATGGCCTCTTTCCTATGTGCCTGTGTCCACATTTCCCTTTCAGAAGGAGACTGTCACTTTGGACTAGGGCCCACCCTAATGACCTCATCTTAACTTGATCATCTGCAAAGACCCTTTCTCCAAATAAGGCCACATTTACAGGCACTGGGAATGAGGACTTCAACATATTTTGCGGGGGGCGGGGCGGGGGATGGACACACAATTCAACCCATAACACCATGTGTCTGGCAAAAGGTCTTGCAGTTAGCAGTTAGCAGATGCTCAGTTAAGGTTTGTTAAAAGACCTTGAGGGCACTCCAGTGAGACCTGGCCTCCAGCCAGCACGTTTGAGACCCTCTACCCATGGGCAAAGGTGAGGTGGATAAGCACTGTCTAAAGGCCACATCATTCCCTGCTAAATCTCTCGATGGCTGGTGGGTGGAGAGGAGCCAGTGAATGAGGCTCATCTTCTCTTAGAAAACAAGGTTTCCTCCCAGGAAAGGTATAATATCCTGGGGCTCATTTTGTGGATAAGAAGAAAGGGATTTGGGCAGGCTGCTTTTATGGCAGTGGTGTGGGCCAAGAAGTTGTAAACATGCCATCTGCTGGAATGTGTCTGCCTGCTTCACTTGGCAGATTCTTCAAGGACTGGATGAGCTCCAGCCAATGTCCAAGTCTCTGCATCCTTACTTGGGGCCCATAAGAATCTGTCCTGCTATCCACAGCCCACTCCTCTGTGCCTCCCTGTCTCACCCCCAGGCCTCAGGGAAGTTATTTCATCCTATTTTTAAAAATTTAGACACATATCATATTGAGCAGTTCTTAGGTGCCTGGCACTTTATGCACCTTGTGTCATTCGATCTTTGCCATAATAGCAGAAACCAGAGTTTTCATTTAATTGCAGATTACATCTATTTTAAAATGAATAAATTTTATCTATAAAATTTTAAAAAATAATAATAGAATGTGTAACCACTGTACAGGATAAGAAACAGAATATTACCAGTATCTTAGAGGTTTCTGTGGACCTCTCTCCAATGATACCACCTTCTCTTCCCTGCAAGAAAAACAACATCTGAATTGTTTTAATCATAGCCCTGCTTCTCTTTATAGCTTACCGACTATGTCTGTATCTCTTAGAGTACAATACTTAGTTTTGCCAATTTTTTTCTTTATATATAAAGGCAATCATACTGCTTGTAGTAGTCTTAGTAGCTTATTTCTTTCAATCATTGTTATGTTTTTAAAGATTCATCCATGTTGATACATGTAAAAGTAGCTCATTTTCTCTGCTGTGTAATTTTCCATTGAATAGAGAAACACAATCTATCTATTCTACTCTACGGATATTCGGGGTGTTATCAATCAGAGCGATTATGAACGACGCTGCCTGTACATTCTTCTACACGTCTTTCAGTGCACATAGGCAGAATTTCCCTAGGTTACCTTCTCAGAAATATAATGGATGATTTTAGGATAAGCACATTTTAACTTTACTAGGTAACGCCAAAATGTTTTTGAGATGCTTATACCAAGTTGCAATCCTGCTAACAGTGGATGAGAAATCTCATTACAGACTGGCCAACATCTAAATTTATCAGAATTAAAATTTTTGCCCATGTGGTGAGTAGGAAATTATAATTTTAATATGTACTTCCTTGATTACTAAAAAGGACGAGCACTAGTGAGGTTGAACCCCTCTCATAAAGGGCCTATTTTTGTCCATTTTTCTATTGGATTGTGTTGTCTTTCTCTTATTGATTTGTATTATTTTTTAAAATACTCTGGGGACTAGTCCTTTTGATTATCGATTTTATGTGTTGAAATACCTTCTTCATCTTTATGACTTTTCTTCTTACTCTCTATATGATGTCTTTTGATGACAGACCTTTAGCAGAATGGAATTTTTCAAAATTTATTTTATGATCTATGTTTTTGTATTTTGCTTAAAGAAATCCTTCTTTACTCTTAGAATATCCTAAAGATATTCTTCTAATTTGTCTTCTAAAAGTTTATACCTTTGCCTTTAATATTTAAGTCTATTCCACTTGAACTTGCCATTTGTAAACTGGGATTTAATTTCAGGTTTTTCCACATGGATAGCCAATTGTCCCCACACCATTTCTTTCTTTCCATGCTATCTACAGTGGCTACTTTGTCTTAACCCACGGAGCCACCCAGGCACCCCAACGGCTACTTTGTCTTAATTCGAGTTTCCTATGTACATGTCTTTTCGGAGCCCTCTATACTTTTCCATTGGTCTGTCTGTCCCTGCACCAATATCACATTGACTTAATTCCTATAGCTTAATAAGGTCTTGGCATCTGGTAGGGCAAATCCCCCAGCTTCTCTTTGTCTTCCTAAGAGTATCAGCTATTCTAGGACTTCTCTTTCATAAAAATTCTAGTAATAATTTGTCAAGGTCCAGGACAATCTCTGGAAAATATTGACTGGAACTCTATGGAATCTCTATATTTAACAGTCCTTAAGATATTGAAGCTTCCTGTTGAAAAATCGGCTATAGGGCCCCATTTATTAGGTCTTCTTTAATCTTTCAATATAGTTCTATAATTTTCTTCACAAAGCAGTTTTGCATTTTCTTCTTAAATTTGTTCCTACTTATATTTTGGTGTTTCCATAAATGATTATTTTCTTTAAAAATACTTTTTTTTAACTGAACACTGATGATGTATGTGATTGACTGTTCATATATGTTGCTCTTGCATGCAGTCTTTCTTCAAACTCACTTATTCATCCTTGATCTGTAGATCCTTCTGAGTGTTCAAAGCCTTTCTTTTCATTTAAATTTTCAAGCTCTAGCTATGCAAACAATGTTATTTTTTTCTTCCTTATCTTTTCTAATTTTCTAGTCATTGCATTGACTAGGATTTTCCAGTAAAATATAGGATGTCAAATGGACTTCCTTTTTTTTCGGATCTTAAATAGAACACTTGCAAGTTTGGGGTACCTGGCTGGATCAGTGGGAAGAGCATGTGACTCTTGATCTTGGGGTAGTGAGTCTGAGTCCCACATTAGGGAGTAGACTGAACTTAAAAAAATAAGAAGAACATTTTTCACTATTTCCTTTTAAATTAAATGTTTTCTGTAGATATTTTTGTGGATACTGTTTTCCAGGTTAGATACATCTCTTTTTTACCTTCATTTTTCTTCTTTTATTCATGAATAGATGTTAAATTTTATCAAGTATTTTTCTGAGTCATTTGAGTCTGGTGGCTCTTTGTTTTGTTGTTTTGTGTGTGTGGAAAGATTTAAATTACTAACTATGTTTTTTTAAAACTAAGGTAGGACTATTCCAAAAAAAAAAAAAAAGAAGGAAAGAAAGAGAAAGAAAAGAAAAAGGAAGGAAGGAAGGGAGGGAGAGAAAGAAAGAAAGAAAGAAAAAGAGCAAGCCAGACTATTCAGATTTTCTGGGGTTTTTTGTTTGTTTTTATTTTTGTTGCAGATTTTCTACTTTTTGAGTCCATTTTTCCGAGTTATATTTTTCTAGGATTAAACCCATTTCATCTAAGTTTTCAGATTCATTGGTATAAAGTTGTTCATAATGTCTTCTTTTCACCTATTAAATATTTTCATAATTGCAGTTTTGCCTTGTGCTTTTTTTTTTTTAAAGATTATTTATTTATTTGAGAGAGAGCAAGCGAACATGAGCAGGGAGGAGGAGCAGAGGGAAAGGAGAAGCAGACTCCTGGCAGAGCAGGAGCCCAGCGTGGGGCTCGATCTCAGGACCTCGAGCTCATGACCGGAGCTGAAGGCAGACGCCCAACCAACCAAGCCACCCAGACGTCCCCTTCTTGTTTCCATTCACAGTGCGCTGTTTTCCTAGGATGCTTTTTGAGTTTTATTTTATCATGAGTTGTTCATTTTCCTTGTAACTTTATCTGAAGAAAATGCTAAAGGCTTGAGTTGAAGTTGAGTTCCTTTCAAGAAGATCCAAATTACTTCTGCCAGTCTCCTGGGGCACTATTCTGGTACTGCTTTAAGTTGCTTCTTCATGCAATGTTTTTTGACCACACAGGTGGCATGAATTCAGACTGCCAGATCCTTATAAGGGCTCAGTTATGGTGACCTAATCCTGGGGGAGGAGTTGTTTTATATCTCCACACAGTGACTAGGTTCAATATAAGGAAATATTATATTGCTCTGTCCCTCCCTGCTCTCACCTTCTGTGTAGCAGGGATTTTTTTTCTGGTTCATGCCTTTGGGATCCCAGTCTATGCTAAGGCATCTAATTCAGTCTCCACTTTGGGCAAGCTCAAGGCTTCATCTCCTACCTCTCAAGTCCTGCACATCCATCAAAACAGAAGTTCAAGTTTCCTGGCCTAGGCAAAAACCTCAGAGTGAAAATCACCTTGTTCCTAAATTACCTCTGGGTTCCTGCTCTTACCTCACTTTTGGGATTCACAGATTCTTTACTTTCAAGACACTGTAACAATGTGGTTAAAAAACAAAAACAAAAACAAAAAACACTTTTTTTTTTCTCTTCTTTCATTTTAGTTGCTTCAGTTGGGTTAGTCAGTGCATCTGATTCGTTATACTGCCAAAAACTGACACCCAGGTGGTCTTTTCCAGATGACTAAAATGAGGCTTAGTAGAGCTAGATCCAAGTCCAAAAGCCAGTAAGTGAGTAGTGATGACACCTAAAAGGAACCACAGGTAGCCTGAACTCTCACACAGCCTTTTGGTTGATGGGACACATGCAGGCCAAGTGATTCAAAGCCAGACTCTCATGCAAAAAGTTCCAGGAAGGTTTAGTATCCCCTGGAAAGTGGAAGTTGATATTGTGTCAAGGGAAGAGTGGCTGCTTCCCTTTGTGGTCCCCTCTTCCATGTCATCTGCCCTTTAATACCATCTTGGGTCACAAATCTGGCAATTTTGTGTGTTATGTAAGCGGGAAGATATAGGGCTAGGGACCTTTGTACAATCAGCCAAGTCAGAACTTTGACCTAGAGCATGTCCTTTATTCCTTCATTTAACAAATGTTTGTTGAATACTTTGCTATTCCCTGGGAGTTCACTGAAAACAAGACCCAGTATCCGCATTCGTAGAGCTTACAGCTGATCGAGGAAACAGAGGAATGGAGCAGACCTTGTAAGGGTAGGATGGTGTCACAAAGGGGGAAGAACTGGATGCCATGGTAGGACGACAGAGTCAGGGGGCCACGGAGATCTTGCTGAAAGAAGTGACATCGAAGCTGAGACCTGGGGGCAAAGAGAAATTGGTCAGGCAGAGAGAGGAGGAGGCTGCAGTGCTCCACACACAGGAAGTCCTGAGCCCAGGGGTTGAGGTGAGGAGTGGCATGAGACAAGGCTGGAAGGTGGGCAGAGAGGCATATGGGGGAAGTGTCGTTTCTGTTGCCTTAAGAAGTCTGGACTCTGTCTGGAGGGAAATAAGAAGCCAAAGGGTTTTAAGGAGAGTTCACTCAGAAAAATCACTCTGACTGCATTATGGGGATAGGCTGCATGGGGAAATGAGATTATGGTGGCCTGTGGGGTCTGAGACATATTTAGGAAATGAGGGCTTTGGAGTTCCACTCCTGGCTCCATCACTTTATAGCTGCGTGATTTTAGGCAAATTACTTAGCCTCTTTTGCCTCCCCTTCCTCAGCTGTAAAGCAACAGTATGATAGGATCCACCCTATAGTGTTGTTGTGAGGCTTAAATGAGCTAACACACATAGAGTACTTTTGACAATACGTAGTGTCTACTAAGGGTTTAATCTTACTGTTATCTGAACGGACAGACAGGACTTACCGGGTGAATGAATAAAGGAGGTGGGGAGAGAAGAATCAAAGATGACTGATGGAGGCGAAGTGCTAAGGAACCCAGGTGAGGTGCAGGTCAGTTCAGTAGGAGGAGGCAGCGGGACATCCGTGGAGAGAAGTCTAGTCTCCTGCTGGAAGCAGCTGACATAGACAGGGAAGACAACCCTGGGGGGAGACACTGAGCTGAGTCTTGAAGGACAAGTAAGAGCTACTGAGGTGACGGGGAGAAGGGGGGAGGAGAGAAAACATGTAAAAGCCGGCCAGCAAGAGAACATAGCTGGAGCAAAGGCTGAGAAAAGCAACAGTCGGAGATAGTATGAGGAAAAGGCGGGGGTCTGATCTTACAAATGGAGCTACAGAGTTCATGCTTTACTTTCTCTTTTGAATACCCATAAGGAGAAGGTGACTTTTTGGGTTTTTTTCTCCTTTACCTTTTCTGAAACACACTGACTTGTTAAGATGTCCCCAACACCCAAAATGCTCTTGCCCTATTGCTTGAGCTTAATGAAAATAGGTAATGGTGTATCTATTTTATCAATGTAGTAGCTTGGTATATAATGTCTTTTGTGGGCGTGGACTTCTCCGTCATTCTGCATCAAAGGGGTTCTTTCCAGAAGGCGGGGTTGAGGCCTGGCTACCTTTTACTCTGTGGGACACCCGGGGCAGATGACAGACTTTGATGGTAAGGAAGAAGCTTCTCTGCTCCTCTTCACGTGTCAAGTCTGTGGCACAGAGCCAGCTAGAACCCTGGACTTCGCTCACTGTCAAACTCTCAACATGATTTGTTCTTTCCGCCTTTGAGGCTTGGTAAGCCACCCAAATTTAAGCCAGATCTGTAGCTTCAGGCCAACACTGACAGAACATCCTCATGATTTTCCAACATCAGGAGCCCAGGTGTGCTGGTCATGATTCTTCCCGCCCTTTCCCCCTCACTCTTCACAGACCTCACGTACTGTAAACTGTCTGCGGCAGCACCATCGGGCAGCGTCCCCCAAATTCGGCCAGATGAGTCATGGGCTGCTGACTCTACATCACTGGTGAAACTTCCTGAAATCCTGCACATCGGTATAGGTCTATAAAATTGAGTCAGTGCCAGTCACGGCATTTCCCAGGGTCGCTAATGTTCTCCCAGGGCATTATTTTCTTCTGGCCCCATGGGTTCATTATCAGGGAGGTGTTAATTTTAGTGCAGAGCTCTGGGGTTCTGCGGGAAGCCAGTCCTGGGTTCAAATCCTGCCTCAGTCCTCCACTAGTTGTATAACCTCCGACAAGCTAAGCCTCTATTTCCTCATCAGTAAGACCCCCTGTAATATGGCGATGATAATGACTACTTGGAAGGGTTGCTGGAAGGATTAGAAACAACCATATAAAGAACCTAGCATGTAGTAGGTATTCAGAAATCGACAGCTACCATTAATAATAGCATTTTGAGGTATTGTTTCTGAGAGCAGATCTAGCCATCAGTGCTGACATGCCATTTCCTGCCAGGCCACGCAATGAGGTAGGTTGGTGGTAGGGAGGGTGCAGAGGTGATCTTACCCTAGACTCCAGGGATTCTCCTGATTTTAGCCCATTCCCCATAGGACAGAGGGCAGATTAAAGGGCACATCTGTCTCCATGGTTCACCGTTTCTTTGGGCTGAGACATAGACTCCCCAGCTTCAGGGAACCTTTCTGTCTTCTTTATGAACCACTTCTACAATTTCCCCAAGGCTAATATTTAATATATAATTTTCTAATTAGCACTTCTCAGTCACCATCTCCAACTGGTCCACAACACCCTTGGGAACTTTGATGTGATGGAATCTTTAATACTTTGCATGCTGCCCCAGCTCACCGCAACCCTCTCCTCCAGTGGAATTGGCTCAGAAGGCAAGTGCAGGAAGAGTTCCTCGCCTCATTCCTAATGATCACTTCCTCATTCACTGTAGGTTGGTATCTCAGTCCAGCTGCAGTCTTTGTTCTGGAATCATTCTGGACAGGGAGGATGAGATATAATGCACACACAACTTACCTTTCAGGCTTACAAGCTTAAAATCCCCTCTACAGTTACAGCTGAACTGTAGGAGTGCCAGGAGAAAACAGGACGCTTGCAAGGCTCCACAAGGATAATCCTTTGGGATTTGAGCAATCTTCCCAGCCAGACGTTACAATGTGCTAACACCCTTGTGAGTCATGAACTAACTCATGGTCAATTCTGTTTGGAGAACAGGATGAATAATTGAGAGTAACTGGGTGTTTGCCTGAATCTGGGCCTAACCCAGTATTTATTCTGTTTTCTTGTCTCTTTTTGCCTAAAACAAACATGTCTAGTTTCCCATCTTCTTCCACATTCCCTGCTTAATCCTTCACTGGCTTTTAGAGGAAAGTCCAAAGTCTTTAACACACTCTAAAGACCCCAATGGGTGGTCCTGCCTATGTCTCCAGCATTTCTATGCCAAGCTAGAAAGACTAGAAGTGAGGGCAGCCACATCCTTGGGGGGTGCGTGCCTAAAACCCATAAGCCTAATTTTTTTAACTTTTTTCTGTTGGAATAATTTTAGACTTATAGACAAGTTGCAAAAAGTAAAACAGAAAGTTCCCCCATTTCTTTAAACCAGCTTCCCTTAATGTTTACATTTTATGTGACCATAGTACAATGATCCAAACCAGGAAAATACCATTGGTACAATACTATTAACTGAACTACAGTCTTTATTTGAATTTCAGCAGTTTTCCCACTAACATCCTTTCTCTGCTCCGGGATCCAATCTGGGATCTCACATTGTATTTACTTGTCATGCCTTTTTAGTTTCTTTAATCTGTGAGTTTCTTAGTCATTCATTGTCTTTCATGCCCTTGACCTTTTGAAGAGTGCCGGTCAATTATTTTGTAGAATGTCCCTCAGTGTGGATGTGTGGTGTTTTCTCGTGGTGTTTTTTGGCAAAAATACCACAGAAATGATGTCATACTGTTCTCAGGGCATCATAGCAAGGGGTACATGATGTGGGTATGCCTTACTACGGGTGATATCAATCTTGATCACTGACTAGACTTTCTTCTTTATGCTTAGCTTTTAACATTTTCATTTCTTCTCTTATTATCCTTTCTCCTCTGGGGAACTCATCCTTTCTCATGAGTTTGAGTATCATCTGTCTACACCTTAAATATAACCAAATTCATATATATATATATATATTTTAAAGATTTTATTTATTTAATTGAAGGAGAGGGAGAGAGAGAGAGAGAGAGCACAAGCAAGGTGGGGGGAGCCGCAGGGAGAGGGAGAAGCAGACTCCCCGCTGAGCAGGGAGCCCGATGCGGGACTTAATCCCAGGACCCTGGGATCATGACCTGAGCTGAAGGCAGAGGCTCAACCGACTGAGCCACCCAGGTGCCTTCCAAATTTATATTTTTATGCTATAGCTCTCCTTTGACCTTTAGGCTATGTGTCCAACAGCCTACTTAATCTTTCCACTTGGATATCTAATAAGGATCTCAAATGTAATATCCAAAACCAAACTCCTGAATTTCCAGCTGTCTTTGACATCCTTGTGAATAGCAATTCATCTTTCCAGTAGCCCAAGCCAAAAGTATTGGTGTCATCGTTCACTCTTCTTTCTTCCTCACTACATTCAAACCAGAAAATGCTGCTGGTTCTATATTAAAAACCTATCCAGGTTCTACCACTTCTTACCACCTTCTCAGCTACCACTCTGATATAAGTTACTACCACCACCACCATCTTCCTCTTGGATTACTGTGATTTTTACCCAAACGATGTCCTCAATGTTGGCCTTATCTCTCTACAGTCTTTTCTCCATAGGGCAGCCACAGTAATCTCTCCAAAGTGTTAAGTCAGATCACGTAATTCCTCTGATCAAAACCCTCCAATAGCTTCAAATTTCAGTTAAAAGCTAAAATCCTTTTCCAGTAGGGCTATCAGGCCCTATGTGATCCAGTCTGCCAACTTCCCCGGTCACATCTCTTTGTCTTCATCTCCTATTGCTCTCCTCCTTGCGATTCCTTGAAAACTGTCACGTTTGCTCCTAATCTGAGGTCTTTGCTTGTGAGGTCAGTCCTTTCTCAGCAATCCCCCACTCAGTAATGGCGACTCCACCAATTCCGCCGCACAAACTGGAGTCTCACAGCCATCCTCAGTGATTTCCTCCCCCTCAGGTCCAATTCACCATCAGACACTGTGTCTTTTTTTTCCCCCACATAAACAACGTTCAAACCTATTTCTCATCCTCACTGCTAATACCTGGGTTCACTATTATCTCTCTTCCCTGATCTCTTTGGCCACTGCCAATCAACTCTCCCCACTGTGGCCCAAGCCGACTTTTCTAAATGCCAATCTCATCCGATCACAGCCCGCTTACATGCTCTTTAATGACTTCCCACAGCTGAGAGACATAGACCACAATTCTTAACATGCCTTACATAGCCCTGCTGGTGTGGCCCTCATTCTCCATACTCCAGCCACAGCGGCCTTCTTTCCATTCCTCAGATGGTACAATGCTGCCCCCTGCCATGTCCAGCTCCTCTTTTTGGGAAATCCTCCACCCACCCCAATCTGCCCCCACTCTCCAGCTCACTCCTTTGCCTAGCTAAAATCTATACCTATACATCGGCACATTGCAACTTAATTATCATTTCCTCAGAGGAGCCTCCCCTCCTCCATCCACAGAGAGTTTCTCTGTTTCATACTATCAAAGAATCTTGCTTCGTTCCTATAGAATGTTCACACTAGCTTGCAATTGTCTATTCAGGACTGGGATTATTTGTCAAATACCTGTCTGCCCCATTAGACTGTAAATCTTATGATAGAGAGCTAAGTGGTGGACACACGGTTGACATTCAATAAATATTTGTTGAATGAATAAATGAATAAATCAATGAATTGATGAAAATAAAATCATGCTTTTGAAAGACAGATCTGGCAAATCAATTAAAAGGAAGAGAAAGGTGAAGGGCAGGAGTTCTGTATAATTAGTAGGCTGTTTAAGTAACATAGGCCAGGAAAGAGGAAATAATACTCTAAACAAGGATGGTGGGAGGGGAATGGAAAGTAACTGGCGCTACCAATATACCAGCTTACCCACAAAAAGCCAGCAACACTGTGCTCTGTGCCCACTGCTCATCCCAGATGTGGGCAGAGGATGGACAAATGCCTGGCATGTTCAGCAGTCTCAACACTGGGGGAAGTTCTGTGGCGAAGACAAAAGGCACTTTCTAGGACATTTTCTCTCTTAAAAAGACAAAGCCATTTGAATGACAAAGACATTCCAGGACCATTTTGCCATCCTCTGGACTCTCGAGGTTCATAAATAGGCTGGTTCCTGTGTTTTTAACAGTATCTGATCTATCTGATTACATTTTCGATTTAAAAGTTCCATTACTACAAGAAGCAACTTCATCACCAGGAGGGCCCAGAGCCCAGACTATACTAGCTCCCTGTCATATAAT